GAGTTTCTACCTCTGAAATGTAATCTGTGTTCATTGTATCCCCCGATCCTTCCCCAGCTACTGAGGTAATTCCAAATTGATTTGTTTGAGAAAAGCCTACAATTCAAAACATTGTTTTCCCCAAACAAATGCATTAAGACATGATAATCTTTTAGAGGCACATCCATGGATTGTTGCTGCAGCTTGCTTGCCATCCACAGCTTACTCTTCAAGTAAAGACTGCAAAAAGGGAGAAGATTCTCTGTTGAACAGAGTACATCATGATTTAATACCCAAACTAAACTTCTRAAAGACCTCTACAAATSTCAAACTGCAGATTTCAAATGAAGMGGGGGRATGTGAAAGCAGAATGAACATAGTGAGCCGGCCATTTAMTTGCTAAAGAGGAAAATAGTTGCTTCTAAAAGGAAGCAAAAGCCTTAGAGAAGAGGCAGAAAGTATTAAGAACTAGAGAAACTAACAGCATGTAGGCATTGCCAGCTGGTGTGAAAGAAGAGTGTCCTCTAGGCACAGTACTTCTTAAGGGAAGTAGAAAAAAACATGATTCAACAAAGAAAGCTCAGGAGCTGTGCCAGAGCCTGGTTGACAGAAGAAGTAAACGAGACCTCATAAAACGAGACAATGCTGTAAAGATCATCAGATTTGCAAAACAACACTATTATGGAAAAGACAAAAGCAGTAGGCTATTGCTAACATTYAAAAAATAAACAATGTGTAAAATAGTCTCCCCAGTCTCCAGAGGAGCCAGCCAAAGGATATCCACGAGACAATTTGCTGTGTATCTTGCAGGATGTTAATACTGCTTGGAGACAGTGATTCCAAAATAAAAGTGTTTTATTTAAGCCATCTAAACCATACCAACAGATCAAATGTTCTGGAGGAAAGGCATTAAAAGTTAGTTTAATTATGGAGATTATTAAATTTAGTATACTTAAAATCCTTAGACCCCCTAATATCTCTCCTGCAGAATTATATATATATATATACATGTAAAAAAAGAATCTGGAGTGAACAGACGGAACCACAGTTGGGTCAACTTCTTAATGAGACACAGAAAGAAAAAAAGGCCCTGGCGTCTAGATATAGTAATATTGAAAAATAGAGAACACCTACTCAGTTTCATCACTGATGTAACACATCTGTTTATTAAATCAAACTCTTTCCTTTGTTCTTATACATAAATCAAATAATCCTGCCTACTTAGCCCAGCAGAGCTCCAGCCAAGTCCCTTTAACAGGAAGCTGAGAGAGATCAGCATTCATGACTCGTTTTTCAAGCCGAATATGCAAAACAACCCACCTCACAACTAACATTAGAAGATGAAAAACTGATAACGTGATCTGGCAGTTCTCAAAAGGGATCTTAAAAAACTTCTGGCTAAGTCCCAGGTTTAGGAATTAAATATTTATCCAGAGTCAAGTCCAAATGCTGCAGTAAAAATTAACAGTGCCCTGTAAGCAAGTTTCTCATTTTCTTACTGGGCTTTCTCTTATCATCCCTCATCTTCAGTATGATTGTACAGTCTTCACATAACAGCCCAGGGAAATTGATAAATCCCAGGTGGAATGGGAAGACAAGATGGGGGAGCACATATGGGTGAGTTTTAAAAGTAAACAATGAAAGTATTTTTGTCATCTCAGTCGCAAATGGAAAATGCTGGGTAGTTTAAATACAGTTTTCASATGAAGTCTAACATGTAGAGATGCCGGATGGGTTTAGTCTTCTAAGGTCTATAAATTCTCACAATACACATATTAGAGGTAATGGGGAGTCAGTGGAGAGCAAACCAACCAGGCTCTACTGTGTCTATGGCAAATGCATCTGATCAGGCACACTGCAAGCCAGAATGCAGAGAGCCTGAGAAACTACCCTGTCTCTGGCTTTACAACATGAGAGGAAATAGAGGACTGATGTGTAAAAGTGCATGGGAAGRGGTGCGTCAAGACAAGGATGTTATTTTTCTAAAGAAAATTAGAAAGCAGATGAAAGCATTAAATACTCKCATCAGTCAAAACTGAACCCAAAGAATTGCCTTGACCCTGAACAAGTTTTACTTTCTAAGCATTACTAGTTGTCCCTTTAGGAAGTTTCTTAGAAKTCTATCAATGTAAAATAAATTGATTAGGGGAAAAATGAGAATTTGAAGTTAAAAAGGCCACTCTGCAAAAACTTGGCAAAATAAGGAGAGATACTACTAAAACAAACCCAGTATTGTTAGGTAAATCAGAYCAGAGGGGTGTTTTTACACTGGTCATTTTAAACACAGTAAGCACCAAGAACAGTGAATTGGCACCTTTTCCTAAAAACCAGACTGTACATGTCTCCAGTTCTTTCAGGAGTAAAGAAATTTTAAGTCAAATTGGTGTCTGATCAGTTTCTCTAAGAACCGTAATATAGAGGTGAGATAATGCTTACACTTTTTGCTGAACCCTACCTCTCAGCATTTATTTTTGTGTTTGATAAGATAGAAAAAAACTCTGCTAGAAGCCAGACAAATCTGAGGACCTGGCAATGTAGTGCTGATGTGGTATTACCTGAATTACTGAGAAGTATATTGAGATCTTTTGCAAGGCTTCCTTAGTTTGCAACAAAAGAATAARTAAATATTTTGTAGTATTAATAAATTCTACCACCACCACCCCCTTTATCTTTTTCTTACAAATCTTGGCAGAAAACTTACAAACTTGTGGAAAATATTCCTTCCTTGTGTATATACTCTTTTGCTTCTATATTCTTTAAGTAATTAATTTTAGGCTCCCTTAATTTTGAGCTACTCATGGGAGTCTCTTGGTACACCAGAACTGCTCTGGGCAGAAGATAACCATAGCCTGTAACCTTTTTGGATTTATTACTTAATAGTAGAAACTTGTCTTTAGACATCGAATGTTGGTTTCTTAAGCTGATTGCTTCTGAATTTCTTGCTTTAAATTGGATTATGCAACTATATCTGTGTCTAGACGATGTTGTATTTTATTTTATTGGTTTTGCTCATGATGTGTGATTTGTTTGTATAATTACCTGGAACGTATGTAGACTTGCTACTGGAGGAGACAATCATCCCTGATCCAGCCCATGTGTGGTTAGTGAATCAGCCATCTAAATCATACCTCCAAAGTAGACAGGGCACTGCCAATCACTGCAAGSGAGAGGGCCAAAGAACACTTGTGCGAAAATATGTAGAGACAGTCCTTGAGAGAAGAAGAGGACTAAAGGCTTCTCAGGTGGTTTTTTTCAAGATGCACATTGCTCCCTGTCTTTTCCCCCTTTGTCTCTCTTTCAAAAAAAAAAAAAAAATCTAAGTTAGCACTTTACTTCTCCCACTGCAACCTGACACAAAAGACCTTCTCAAATAAATCACTCGTGCAGTTGTCTGGTATGACACAGTGTCAGATGCTGTCTTTTTGATAAGTTCATTTCCTAAGCAATTTGTTTAACCCTTTTTATAGACATTGTTTTCTCTGACTAAGTCGTGAGTCATTTTTCARCACATGAGTACTCCAGGGAAATGTCACACTCGTTGCTTGTTTCTCTGCCTGCCTGGCTTTACTATATGATTTTTATAAGMCAAAAGGACAAGAATTCCTCCTTTTGTTTGTCCCATTCTGCTGACAGCTGGCTGTCACTGTCTCCAATTGGGCTACTCTATAGGCTGACCTCACAGTTGTTATAAGGCAAATAAAGTCCAAATGAAATAAAGTAAATAATCCCTAACCCAGAGAATCAAGCAAAATGAATGAACTTTTAGGAGCCTGTTACGACAGGCATCACTCATCAAATTTGTGTCATGATGCGAAGGTAATTTCTTGTGTCTCAGGAGTCAGTTCCAAGTTGCCCTTAAGTAGCCACCACCACCAAGATGAGGTTGTCTAGGAAATATCAAAGTGATCRTTTTTCATCCCAAAGACTTGCTCTAGGACACAAAAGCTGTCATTCACCTCAACAGAACAGATGGGCTGAGGGCTTGTAAAGGGTCGTTTGGTTTTTTTTTTCCTCTGGGGAAAAAAGTCTGTTTGCCATTTTACAAAAACCTGTCCTTTGCAGTTTGTATTGTAAACAGACTCATAAATTTGAACAAGTACATCCAAAGTGCTTTGAATTTTGTGTATTATCTGTGCCTGAGGACAGCTAGGCACAAGTGTTTGCACCCAGGTACGGTGACAGAAGGCAAGCGCAAAGACTGTGGCAATCTCAAAGGAACACTCCCCTCGGGAACTGACTTTCTGAGGAAGCAAATGTAATTACTAGGAATCCTGGGCACGCCTGCTGTCACAAGAAAGGAGTGTCCCAAAGACTGTTCCGAGATACTGCAGTTGGTAGCTATAAAACCCTTATCTAACTCACTGTGAGCGCAAGGCTGCTGTCTCCCTGTCCAACTCCATTCATCTTTCCCTTTCCCTCTCTTTTTTTTGTTGAAAGAGACTTGAATTGTGTACTTCCATGGTCTAATGGTGTTTTTGAATAGAAAAAGATTAAGAAATATTCTAAGGGAAGTGTTACTGCCTTGCAGCACAGCTTGGCTTGTGGCATGCAGGTCCCTGAAAACCAGGTGCGCTGTTTCTGGTCTTAATCCTTCCTGTCTGGCTGCTGTGCCACAACGGTGTGAGCTGTGTGTGTTTGGAGGGTTTATCTCAGGGACCCTGCCTAGATCCCTAGGATTGCCTTTGAATGTAGGGTTATTTTCTCTAATGAGTTRCTGCTGGTTGTAAGCATGCTGTGCTTCAAAGGTCGAAGGGCATTAATCTTTCTCTTAAGGCTTGTGTGGTGAGAGACRCGGGTGCTGGAATTGCTGCCACGGACAGACAATTGGATCCTGGCCATTCCTTGTCAGGGTGACTTTAGAGATCATGCCCATAAAGRACTGAAGCCAAAACCCTTTTGTCAGCATTTGGATTGGTACTGAAAGAGAACGAGTGTGTTATGAAATTCTTCGCTAATCATGAGAATATTGCAGCCTAATTATGTCATCTAAACCTTTGAAATCTTCTTTGTTCTGTCTGCAGGGCCGTACTGTGGCAACGTGATGCCTGTCCCCAAAGAAATCATTCTAGATAGCAATGAGGCAACTATTCACTTTGAGAGCCGATCCCACGTGTCAGGACGAGGCTTTCTGTTGTCCTATGCCAGCAGTGATCATCCAGGTGAGGTGAAATCAAATGCAGTAGAAGATTAGTGGCATAGTCCCCCTTTTAAATATCTTCTCTACACACTTGGAGCTTTAGCCTGAATGTTTGTTYCTAAATATTTTGAGATTAGCATGAGCCATGGTATTTTTAATGGCATGTGTGCAAGGATCAGTTATAACATTAACCAGATGTAATAGCTTAAGTATTATACAGAGAGGTCTTTAAATGTMATTTCATGTTTAGCCAAATATTTGTCTGTAGTTTTGCATCCTACAATGGGAATTGACATTTATAAACTTTTCACAGATCTAATCACCTGTTTGGAACGAGCAAACCACTACACAAAGGCTGAATTCAGGTAAAGAGGATTTTCAGCTCTGCATTCTGGCTTGCTTTGCTCTATCTGTCAACTGGTTCAATGGTTAAAAAATGTTAAACAGTCTTGGTTTTCTGGAGAAGTGAATTTTTTTGAGCTCCARTGCTGTAATGGTTTAAGGCCTGGTTGTGAGAAGCAGTAGTGCGTAATGGAAGTCTGTGGCCCAGAAAAATTATGGAATGGAGTTGCAGAGCTCTCAGCAAATCTCATTAAGAGCATACATATACATGGTATATGTAAAAAGAGCTTCCACTTTGAAATTCAAAGTAGCCTCAAATTCCAGTGCTTCCTCTGGGAGCAGATCACATCCCAGCTGATACAAGATTATCTGAGGACAAGCTATAATTTCTCGGTTCCTTGAACTTTGTGATAGGTTTGAAATGGTAATAAATTGTGCTCTTCTGGCTGCTGTCTGCATGTACATCTAGTCTTCTTATCTTATTCTGAAAACTTGTATGGTAGCATTTCACAAATAATCAGCATAAACAGAAATAAATGCCCTTGCAAAACTGCTTGTCTGGTTCTTTGTGTGCTACTGAAACCAGTGCACCTATGAACCCAAGGGCCCATTCATTTAGCTCCTAGACTCACTAAAAGAGCATCAGCCAGAAATTACTGCTAAAATATTTATTGGTTTGAGAGAGCATTYCTTTTATATGAGTTTGTTTGTGTTTATTGTCACTGCAGTTCATGTCTTAAACAAGTCTTTCTTCTCTCACTGCAGCAGATACTGTCCTGCTGGCTGCAGAGACATAGCAGGTGACATTTCTGGGAATATTGGAGAAGGATACAGAGATGTAAGTGCACAAGATAATGAGGGGAAGTTTATAAAGGCAAAAGAAACAAGCATAGAACAACTTGATTTCAACTTTAGCTGCTTGAGTTTGTCAGTAATTCTTGCCGGCTCTGTTGCTATACCTTTTATTATCAGTATATAAGTTATCAGTATATTAGCACACAGAGACACTTTYCAAACAGACAAATCAATTGTGTGAGAACAAAGTCCACTGATTGTCAAATATACCTACTGACTTGTGGTTTCTGGCTTTCTGGAAAAAGCCTGCCTGGTGTTTGTCCTTCCTGAGGTAGTGCTCATCCATGTACAAAATATTTCTCTGATTTTAGCTTTTACTTATTAGCTGTCCACATGTGAAACAAATATATTTCAATAACACGTGGTCTTTAAGATTATGGCTGCACTATCCTAGTATCTGCTCTGAGATGAAATAAGTATTACACWCTGCCTAATCACATCCCACCGATAACTTACCAGCCTCTTGGGTTGTTTTAACTTTTTGTTCTTTAAACTCAGTAAGTTAAAGCTGTTGCAATTATCCACAGTTCATATCACTCAGATTCTGCCCCTTCTGTGCCCCTCACCCTAGACTCTTCTCCTGTGCTGCCTGAGAAATCTTTACCTCTCTCACAGAGGACTAAGCCTAATCATACAACTGAAGATAAATCCCACCCTATCACAGCTGCCAAGTTTCCAAAAAGTCGTGTTCACGTTTAACCTGTTCATCCAGTTATTCAAGCGTGCCGGCTCCAGCCTGAAAGGTGGCAGAGCTGAAGAAACAAAGAAATGCCACATTGCATTCTCATTAGCTGGAGTTATTCTGCCCTTGGTTCGGATGATTAAGACAGAAAAGCAGCACATGGCATGACCTCATGCAGATTTTATCTGCACTGAGGAATTTGCAAAAGAAATTTTCCCTCCACCATWAAGGAGGGTTTTCTGAAGGGAAGAACCTGCAGGGCTTCCCTGGAGATCTGCTGCTTTTGTGCCTCCACCCTCCCCAGCCCTCCCTGGAGGGGACAGCCAGTACCCTAGCTTGTCCCAGCACCCCAGTGTGACCCAGCTTGACTCTGCCTGCAGCCCCTGGGAAGGGCTCCTCTGTACCTTTCTCTGTCCCTTTCCTGCTTTGCCCTTGCCCAGTGGTGTCCTGCCTGGATTTTTCAGCCCTATCCCACCTGAGATATTGGGAAATGACTGCTCTGAAAACCCAGCAGCAGCTAGTGAACACACAGCCAAATCCCCTCATGCATGCCATGACTCAAATCCTAAGGTGCAGTAATAGTTAGGTCTGCCTTCAGGCACGCACACCAAGGAATTACTGATTTATCTTCCAAAGGAAGCGTTGCCTTGCCTTTGGCTTTTTTTTCYTGAGGAGTGACAATCTTACAGCACCTTCTCAGAAGCAGATTATTTGTTTTTTTCATTGGAAAAGAAAAATTACTTTGGGAAACGTGTATTTTTTCAGATTACTGCTCTTTCTCCCTCCTCTGCCTCTTATTCCTCTTGAGCTTTTGCTTTATGAGCTGTAACCCCTGTATTCTGGTGGCTTGGACAGGAAAGCATTAGCAGTTTGTCAGATGGATTTTGTGAGCCTTGGCTCCTGCCTTTCAGACCTCGCTGCTGTGCAAATCTGCGATCCACGCCGGCGTGGTGGCGGACGAGCTGGGCGGCCAGATCAGCGTCACCCTGCACAAGGGCATCAGCCGCTACGAGGGCGTCGTGGCCAACGGTGTCCCCTCCCTGGAGTGAGTACCACGGGTGGGGCTGGCACATCCCGGGCACAGGGCACTGCCCACATCGGCACAAGGAKGTGGGGACACCATTTTGGGGAGGAAAGGATGTTAGGTGTGGATCCACTATTAAAATAGTGTTGACATTGGAGATAGGAAGAGGTTCCAAGTTTTCAGTGGCTCTGTACCATGGAGGGTGATATTTTCTTTTTTTTTCCCTTCTGTTCTTTCCAAAACATATTCGCAAATGACTTTGTTTAGCAGATACATGAGAGTACGATGCTCTGCAATAAACACCTTTAATCGATGTGCTAATAAATCATGATAAATTCGTGTTAAAGTTTMAAAAAAGCTAGGAAAAGTGAGTAAAAAGTGCCATTGAGCCATAGGGGATTTAATGAACAACTCCTTAAACATTGTGCTTTTGACATGATAAGAGTTTTTCTTTTTTAGAATATTTATAGCAAGGGTGTAATATTTACTGCTTATCTTCTGACTTTTAATTGTACTGTTGTTGAAGTAGAAATAAATCCTCTAATCTCTATCCAGCACAGTAAGCCCTTCCAGCAACCACTTCTGTCATTCCAGTTGGTTTATAGTTTTTAATTTTCAAATGTTATCTGGATTTTACATGAGGCCTTTTTTTTTTCTATTGTAAGACGGGAAATTTTCATCCCATAGCCYATGAGAGCTAAGGCAGTATGTATTTTTTGTACTATTTTCCCATTTTCTCCGTGATTTCTCACACCCTCCTGACAATTTTACAATCACGGTTTCATTCACTGAAACAGAAATTGTATTCATGTGCTCTGTTGCTGTGCTTAAACTTCAGCACAGACTGAAATGCTTTATATATAATGGCACTGGAATATACAAATCTGGGTAGTGTGTAGATCACAGCCAAAGAASAATACAGCCTAAATATTTTCTATTTTTCTTGAACATTAATTGCCAGGRAAAATTAATATAAACTTGTCTCAAGCAAAACAGGACTGAGAACTCTACTCAGGCACCAAGCCCCTCCATAAAACAAATAATGCAGATTCTTTCCATTACATGTGCCAGCTTAGTGAAAACCTAAATTAAGTATTTTTTGCCTTATCTAAAGATGTTAGAGCTGTTTACACGCATTTGTATGTTTGTGACCCCTGAGAATCCTAGTGGAGTAACTCAACCAGTTGCACACAAAGTCATGTAATGTAAGGGAGCTGTGATACCCATCTGTATTTTTATTTCACTGTGCAAGAGCTCATGGGCAAAGAATGAAATGTATAAAACTGCAAATGTGCCCCTGCTGGGGGATTGGGCTCATTTAATGTGAGGGCCCTGAGATAGCACCTGAAGGAGGAGCAGAACCCCTGTAGGGAAGGGCTGTAGGGGCAGACAGAGACAATCTTTGAGCACGATGTACATCTCCAAGGGATGGAATCACCCTAAGAAAACAACCATAACTTTCTACAGGGAGCCACGGGCTCATATTGGGCTGTATGCCTGCCAACTAGGTGGCTTTGAGAAAAATGGGAGTGTCAGCACAGCGCTTCCCAGGATGYTTCTGCCACACCTGGCAGCTGGGACAATCTCTAGAACAGATGAGCTGTTGCTGTGAGCCCAGGAGAGGGAAGCTGGAGTATGTAGGGAAACGCTTTTATTTCAAAACATGGCAAAGTGTTCCTAGAAACAGCAGGCCTGTTTACTGAGAAAATGAACCGATGCATTTCATGCTTTAAAAAAGCTTTTCTAAGGGGAATCTRCAAAACTGCATGGCTTCCCTGTTCTGCGGTACCTACACACTGAAGGAAAATCCTGCCATGAGCCAGTGCCCGCAAGAAAAAAATGGTACTTGAACAGCAGAGCCTTAAGAGCTTTTTAGATGGCCTTAAATAAGAGCTTGCTCAAGCTTTTAAAATCTCATTTATAGTGGATTTCAGTATTAAAGATTTAAATTATTTAGTGACTTGAGCTGAAATTGGCCTCATCAAACGCTGCTGCTGGAGTGCATCGAGCTGTTAAGTGTCTGTGTTGTTAACATGGAGTTATGTCTCGCTCACCCAGCACCCTGCAGGAGCTGACCTTGGCCTCCCCACTCCATTTTTCAGTGTGCTTGTTATGCTGCAGCATCCGTGAGGTTTTCTCTTGCCATGATCCATGTGCGGACCTGCCCCCGCAGATGCTGCAGTGGAGCCCAAGGGGCTGCATTTCCTTGGAAATCTAAAAGACTGCATGCTTGTCAATAGKGAAAGATGAGATTTGGGGTTAACCTGCACTGCCTAGGAAAAGCTTGCTTGAGACCAGCTCTTGCAAAAAAAAATTAAAAAGGCAGGATCCTGAAGCTTGTCAGGAAAATGAGGAGCATGGGGTGATACCCTCCCTTAAAGGACAAAGTGGAATTTGTGTGACAAATTCCAGCAGTCACATTAGGTAACTGATGAATTACCACTTACTGAATTGGTTTGTCCTCTTTAGTGAATTACAGCAGAAATATATTGGTTTGATTTCATAGCTTTGTAGACCTCAGAAATGCTGTACTCCTCCTCTATTTGCTAAATTTGCAGCCCTCTATTTGGAAGGGTTCTGGGTGACTTTTTTTCATTATAAGTATTCAAGGAGCACTGTGATTGCTGTTTTGGGTAGGTTTTACTGATTACATAGGTATTTATTTTCTYCTTTTCTATTGAAATTGATTGCTTTGCATTCACTAAGAAATCAAAATATGTTTTGGCTGTGATGTCAAACTGGTTTGAAGTGAGCAGAGTGCATCTGATCGCCCCTGAGGATTGCCTGGGGAGAAGATGTGGGAGGGAGGGCTTGTGTTTCCCCTTCTAGCTACTCAGCCGCCCACATGCCCAAATAAATCAGCTCCCACCCAGAGCTCTGAAGGGCTTCGTTTGCCTGTAGTCATTAGTTTTCCCTCAGTGACAAAAAAAGGCAGTGTTTTTATTGACCTTGACRTGGGACTACTTTTCTATTCCCCGTTTGCAGTGCTCTCAAAACGTAGAGCCCTGCACACCGTGGTGAGGCTGCAGACAGTACCTCGGGGRAAATTTCCCTGGCCAGCAACAAAGAAAAGGCAGCCTGAAAGGGAACTGTCTCCATGCTTAGTGCAGAAGTTGTTTYACTGCTTAGTCACGCTGGCCAAGGCTTTTCAAAAGGGGCCAGTGGAGCGTGCAGCTAATCGAAGTGGCAGCAAAGGGGGYGGATTTTCAAGAAATCCAAACTAATTTCATGTTAAAACGCTGGCTTTTCTTTTTATTAGGCAGCCAGTTGGACTCATTGCTTCTGGAATGAAAYCTCAGGGGCATCTCCTTGGGAATTAGAAAGGAGCTCCCTGAGAGGCCAAGGAAAACTCAGTTTTCCCTTAGACTGGTGATTTTATCTTGTCCTGCATTGTGCAGGGCTGCAGTGGAGTGGCCCAAGAAATGGCTTTCCCCTGAGGCAAAACAGTCYGTGTCAGAAGGAGGAAGAAAAAGGGAGCCATAGATGTGGTTAATGGAGCATAAAGAACCATTCCTGATGGGAGATGTTGRCCATGGTTATAACAGAACTGGTTCCCACCCAGATTAAAACAAGGAGTAGCTTTCATCCAGTTTTCATCCTATGACACACCTGTAGCCGAAGTAGGAATGGYAAGAGCTGGTGTGGTTTAGTCTCCATCAAGTGTAACTCTTTCACAAGYAGCAGGAGTAACAGGGTGATGCAATGGGGAGTCATTTTGGAGCATWAAAAAATACTCAAAACCATTAAAAAAATTCTTTGAATTTAGTCACAGCAAGAGATGCACTTGAGTGCTCTTATGGGGGTCGGTAACCAGCCAACAGAGAAAGTCAGAGATATTTTACTGGATGAAAAGTGATTCTGAAGCTGTACCTCAGCRCTCCTATGAGCACTTTATGAAAGGCTGAATTATATTTTTCTTTTCTTACAGAGGTTCTCTGTCAGATAAGCGGTTTACATTCACTTCGAATGGTAAGAATAATTGTTTTATTTTTAGCTATTTAAATATTTTCCATAAAAGTTTTWAAAAATAATCAGGAGAATGTCAGGCTGTGTCTAGGAAGGATATTTTAGGACAGCAGTTTTTTTAAAATTGGCAAGTGAATAAAAAAATTGAAGAGATGTGAAGTGAGCTAGAAAAAAAACAGAATATGTGCGGTCATACGCACATAGACGAGAAACAGAAATAGTATTCTGCTGTTACATTTCTGGTGCCAGCATATGAAAAATGACAATCAGATAATCCCATTTTTATATACTTTAGGCCACAGAAAATGAAAGCAGTTTTTCTTCAGACATTTATAATTTCAATGTTCATCATACAAGCGGAGAAAGAAAACATAGGAGGAATAAAAATAYGTTGCACTGATACAGAACGAGTTTTTGTTTATGGCTTTCCAAGATGCAAAACCCTCTTTTAATCTGTCAAGGCGTTCATTTGCATAAAACACAGCAAAGAGGGGGGAAAGGTTCGCATTCGTTCATTTGAATTATATTTCACTCATTTGAGATAAAATCATTTATTATTCCACTGAAAACTGTAGAGCATGTATAGGCCTTTGAATCTGCCAAGGAATTATTTTTAACTTCATTGAACCATGTTCCACCGGCCTGTTTCTCTGAAGAACCTTGATGTGCAGAAATTTTGTGGGTTTGGTGGAGTTTGCAATACTTATACCTGCAGATATTATCTTCATGATATCATATCTTGGCAGCAGTATCAAGGAGTTTCTCTAATGAGTAACTTTCCTAGCCCTAATTGCAGGTGGGAATCATGAAATATTTACAGTAAAGTATTCCTTTCAGTACAGCGCCTTCATCTGCGAAATGTTTTGTACAGCAGAATTAGTTAACGCCAATCTCAAAACATAAATATTATGTTTCAGAAGGAAAAATTTAAAAATAAAAAATGTCTTCACAGGAACGAGACAAAAGTGCAGAGATTAAAAAACTAAATGACAAAAATAGCAGATGTAGTCAGAAGGTGTCATGCATGTAGGAGTTAGGCTGGTAAAGGATTGGGACTGCAGCACTCTGGTACTGGATCATCCACTACAAATTGACTGGTAAACACCACAGCTAATGGAGAGCATCAGGCTAGCACTAGATTCAGCAGCGTCTGACTTTGCTGTTGTGGGTGGTCTTCAAATGTTGCTAGCCTAATATAAAAATATCCTGTGAAAATGCAAAATAACTCCTTCTGCCTGTCTGTGTGGGGACTCCTAGGCTGCAACAAATCTCTCAGTCTGGAAGAGGGATTCCTCTCCAAGAGCCAGGTTACTGCATCTTCCTACTGGGAGGAGACCAATGAGTTTGGRCAGCTACTCCTGTGGTCCCCTGACAAGGCTTGGCTCCAAGTCCCGGGATGGTCTTGGGCATCYAACCACAGCAGCAACCGTGAGTGGCTGGAGATCGACCTGGGAGAGAAGAAGAGAATAACGGGTATGTCGCTCTCTGGTCGTTAAAAACTGCTGTTTCAGCTGGAGAAGCTGATAATGTGCTAGTGCAACATCTCTTTTGTTAAATGTAAGGAAGTGTTTGTAACTTGAGAATATTATTTTCCTATTTAAAACATCATGGCTATTACAAGACTGGTCTTCCTGCAGGGATATAGGATTGAGCTCAACTGTCATGCATATCTGATCTGTAAACATGCTGACAGAACAAAATACTTACACAGAGAACAGTAAAGTCAGGATGGGTGATCTGCAATCAAAAAGAAACATGGGAATCATAGCTTTTGAAGCAAGGCCCAGGTGAAAGAAATTCCTGAAATTTCCTCTTCTGGTTTAGCTGTAAAAGTGTAAATTACAGTTGCTGCTAAAGATGTAAAGATGGCTGATACAGGCCATAATACCAAAATGTAATTATCATTTTGGAGTCACAGACTCACAGAATGGGTAAAGTTGGAAGGCACCACAGTGGATCATCTGGTCCCACCTCCCTGTTCAAGCATGCTAATCCCAGAGCACCTGGAACAGGATTGTGTCCAGACAGTTCCTGAATATCTCCAGTGAGGGAGGCTCCAAAACCTCTGGGCAACTTGTTCCAGTGCTCGGCCACTGCACAGCAAAGAAGCTCTTCCTCATGTTTAAGTGGAACTTTCTGTGCATCAGTTTCTGCCCATTGCCTCTTGTCCCATTGTTTGGTATCACTGAGCAGAGCCTGGATCCATCCTCTTGGCACCCAATTCAGATACTGACAGACATTGATGATGTCCCCTCTCTGTCATCTCTCCTTACAGCTGAACAGGCTTCATGAGCCTTTGTGTTAAAAATATCCATTGCTCTAAATTCACAATTTTAAACTGATTTCCATCCCTCACCCAACTTTTAAAATCAACTTCAACACAGTTTAAAAAATATACTAATACCTTGAAGATACGTTTTACGAATTGTTTTGTCTTCTGTGTTTGCATTTGAAAATGTTCCTTGAAAACAGGCATATAATAAATGAAATTTTTTTTTGCATTTTGTTAAAAGGGATTAAGACCACTGGTTCCAGATCCATGAATTTCAACTTTTATGTGAAGACATTTACAATGAATTATAAAAATAACAACTCCAAATGGAGAACTTACAAAGGGATTCTGAGCAATGAAGAAAAGGTAAGGAAAAGCGGGAAGGGTAGAAAAACACAAAACAGTAATGCGGATGCTGTCTTGACATTGAAGGGCAGCCTTTCACTGTCAAGAAAGATTAGGATTTTCAAACTTGTCTAGACTTGGGCTGTCTTCACCAATGTAATTTATGGCTAAGGAGCAGTTAGTGAGCTTGTCGAAACAAGGAAGTTACCCAAGGATTGGTGAAGCTGTGGCACACACACAGGGAGGCATGTGTATGTCTGCACCCTKCTTTTCAAAAAGCGGTGTGACTGGAGCTGTTCAGCAGCTGTTGGGGCAAGTCCTTGGCTCTGCTCAGCGTTTGCCTGTGCCAGGGATGCTGCTGGTAYGGCCCCTGCAAAGCTGAGGGTCAGCTCTGGATGCATGGGGATGGTCAATCCACCTCCCCCCACCAAGCGAAACAGCCTCTTGGGTGAAGGGCAGGGCTGCTGGTAGAGTTGGATAATATTTTCCCCTGGAAACCTCATGTTTCCTTTCAAACAAAAGAARTCCCAAAAGTCTTCCTCCCTGTTCCCACAGTGTTCAAAGTCAGGCCTTCACTCATCATTCCTGAGGGAGCTCAGCTTGCCTCAGGAGAAGGCTCTGTCTGCTCCTCAGGCCTGATGGCAGTTCTTAAAAACTTGGCAGAACTGAAGAGAGATTWCCTGCTAGCTCTGATTTTCTTAGCTTGCATGCAAGGAATTTCACTGCCCAACATTAATGAGATTAATATTTTTTTAAATGTTAAACTGAGGGGATGCTGGCCCAAAAAGTGACAAATCAGCCTAGTAGAGGCTGAACTGTAAAGGCTAGCTAATTTAAATGTGCAGGCTTCCAGTTTCCTGCAGTGACTTGTTATATACAAATATCCTTTGAAACTATTTTATATGATCTTAGTTTCAGCTGAGGTGCATGACAGAACCTGTCCCATCAGAACCCCGTGTGACCTGGCATTTTATCTAAGATATGCTGAGCTCACCTCTCTMTCTCATTCTACTTTTAAGTTTTTTCTAGATGACACTGAAGCATCTCCTGGTACTAATATTGCAAGGACTACTGCTCTGCACAAGGGGCTGAGCTGATTCTGGGAAATGCTGTATAAGTGCAATATATGTGTAGTTAATAATCACTCTGCAAGCCTCATAGAGAAAACTGACCATTTTACTAAAATGTMTAGATAGTTCACCTCTGTTTTTTTCTTTTCATGTTTCTATCCCTTATTTCCGAGAAAGGGTGCTGCAGTGCTCTTAAATAAAAAAATTATAGCATTATACCAGCATGCATTAACTAGAAATTACACAGCATTGAAATGGTGATAATCTTCCTCCTCCAAGCTAACAGAAAAAYGTGATCATCTGGCACAACTAAACAGATTATTTCTTTCCAGAACTCTCAATTCCTAAAATCTTGTGGCTGAATCCCAGCTTATCGATGTATTAGTTTTAGGATAACAAAAAWCTTTGAAGCTGGATGTCAGGACCACTTTGAAGAGAGACTTTTAAAAYTGAGCAAACAAGGTGTGCACATTTCTTTGCAGGTATTCCAGGGCAACTCCAACTCCGGTGACATCGTGCGCAATAACTTCATCCCTCCGATAGTGGCCCGCTACGTGCGGATTGTCCCTCAGACTTGGAACCAAAGAATAGCACTGAAGCTGGAGCTGATGGGGTGCAGAATAATGCCAGGTATGGGGTGAGCAGTGCGTGGTGCCTCCACAGCCTGCTGTGCTGCCCCAGTGCCACTGATACCCTGTTCTCTTTTYCAGCAAACAGTTCATTTACGCATTCAATGTGGCAGAAACCCAGTCAGAGCACAGAAACCTCCCTCGGCAAAGAAGACAGGACTGTGACAGAGCCCATCCCATCAGAAGAAACTAACTTGGGTAACACTACCTAGTGCTGTTCTTTCTCTAGGATGCATCATGTCTTCAGCCCAGCCTGAGTGAATTTTAAACTTTCTCACAATTCAGAACTTTTATTTTCCTTCAGACTTTAATAAAGATTAATGACAGAGAGAAGAGGGAGGAGCAAWAGGTTCTTTTTGTCTTAAGGCACAGAAAGAGATTGAAAGCCATAATTTTCCTTGATGTGTTAAACATTGGGCTTTGGTTTCCCTGTCATATCGGTTTATTTGCCACACTTGGTGGGCGGCTCAGGGGAATACAGTGAGCACTCAGCAGCAATTTTTGGAAGAGTTCTTCCTCACTCTCTTCTATATTTTGTAATTTTTTAGTATGTGAGGTGGTGGTCTCACAAAAGCGTTATCTTGTCTCCACACAAGCATGACTCCTCCCAGAGAGGCTTCCCAGCTCAAAGCAGCATACAGTARTGCCTGGTTGTGTAAATAAACACTTTTCCATAATGCCTGTGTTCATGGGGGCTCAGACAATCTCAATTTGCATACTTCTCCCTGAATTTGCRGTCTTCATCCTTCAATGTTGCAGAGCTAACTTCTTACACCTGAAAAAGCAAGCAAACAAAATTTGATGGATAGACTGATGTTTTGGTGGGCTCATAGCCAGGCAGGAATTACTGTACTAAATGCTACTACTACCCATTAGGTAGCTGATAGTTGTGGAAATGCCTCTGTGTAAAAACTGGTTGTAAAAAGCAGTCACTGGAAGAAAAAAAAAAATCTAAAACTCTTGCCAAGAGCAAGCAAGCTCAGTTCATCTGTGAAGCGGTATGAGTAAACCATATCCATGTTCACTGAAAATTAAATCTACTGAGAGTTCATCTGCTAAATTGTAAATACCCTGTGGACACTTGTACTCCTTATTCTCACAGCTGGCAAGTGTCTGTAGAAACGGGGAATGAATGGCACACTCCTGACACAAGGGCCACCCCACTGATAATTTTAMAATCCCTGCTCTAAAGCATGTTATGTTAGAATTTAACAGTGGCTRAACAGGTTATCCCCTAGATTCCCTCATGGAAATCTTTGAACTACATTGACTGAAATGTTTCAGCCAGTTCAGCATGAGCCAAATACTTGGCATGTAAAATTGCAGTCTCCTTTGGCAGATTTATAAGCAACTGCAAACAGAGTAYGTGTGAGTGGCTTTTTAAAAGTCATCTAGTGTGTAATAAGAAAGAGCTGCTCTTTGTAAGGATGCATAGAGATGYCAAGTCAAGTGTCACCCTTGAGAAAGAATATTCAACTCTTTTGTTTCAACATTGTTCCACATAGGTACGTGGCAACCAACCGTGGCTGAGGAGTGGTGTTTTAGTTTTATAGTTGTACATTTTCATGCTGTATTCAAGAAGYATTCCTGCAACATTATCTACCTTTTGCTGTAGTACAAACTACCAGCTTTAGAACAAYTTGCCTTTTAAACTTTTATCCCTTTTTTTTTTCTCATGCAGGTTTAACACTTACAGCTATAATTGTCCCCATCCTCATCGTGCTGTTTCTGTTCTTGTTCTCTGGAATTTGTATCTGCACAGCCCTACGCAGGTAAGATACTGCTTTTGTCAAAGGAGGCACTTGTGGGTACCTAGCTAGCATGTCCAACTCCATGCCCTCTTTCCAGAGCCACTTTGCCAGGGAGCTGGGAATTGATCCTGTTTGTCAGTCTGTCTTTTAAGTAGAATTCAGGTGGTGTCTCTGTAAATTATATTTCTTATTGTATGCCTCYCCTAGTCAGAGAAAAATGAAGATAAAGCAGGTCAGAACAGTGCACCCAGTCCAGTGTAACCAGCTGTTCTCTTCAGCCTACACATACCCACAAACACTGAGGTGAAAAGCAGTCAAAGACAGGACCATTTCCACACCAAAGCCAAATAAAAATTCAGTGAGGGGAAGATCTGTGCTATCTATCTGGATAATTTYATTTTCCTCCCATTGTGTTTCTGCTTCCCAGTCCCTTAAGTTAGAGCACTTAACTTGGCGGACTGAAAGCAGAGCTCAGCCCTAAGGAGTTGCACACATACACTGCTATAAGCAGCTAAAATTAAGCCATTTCATCTCACAAGTCTGAGGACTGGAAGAAGCACTGCTTGCTAACTCTGCTTCCTGCTAGATACCCTTTCCTATGAACCTGCGCTTGCACGTTGAGCTGGGAAATGCTTCTGTCAGCAGATGGGGATTTGGAAGTATAAGCAATGCTCTGGTGATGGTGCTTCATCACCAGTGATACTCAGCTCTGYCCTGGATTCCCAGTAAATCTATAAAATAGCCAAAGAATTCAGAAGAGCAGACCCAAACATGGCCCCGAGTGACATAAATAGACATAGACACATCAAATTGATGAGTGCCAGCCCCAGAAATTTGAACACCAGCACTCACAACTTGTGCATAGATGGAGAAAAAGAAAATGTCAAAGTGCTGATTTTGCATGCCTGATGGTCTAGTAAACAGCAACCTCCAGGAACTCGAAGCAAAGCCCTGTCCTCAGCCACTAAATAAAGAGGCTYGGCTGGAGCTGAGGCATAAAGCTGAAATGCTGTAAGTACAGATGTTTATAAATCCTTTCCTCTCCTCGCAGGCGAGAAGCCAAAGGACTTTCCTATGGATTATCCAGTACTCAGAAATCAGGTTAGTGGAGAATCATGCACTTTGTCCTGTCCGGGCCACTGTGCCAGCAGGAGGGGGTTTATGCAACTAAGTATTTAATGCTTCTGAAATAGCATCCACATTGCCTCATTCAAATTCMCCTCTTCATACAAGGGAAACAGCAAACGATAGTCCCACTTGTGTCATCCTAGCACAGTGCCCTGAGAAACAATATAATTTGGTTTCTATGACAGAAAGGCAATTAACAAAAGATCTATTATACAGAGTGCATAAATTAGCATGTAAGAGTGCTCCCAGGTGCCCTCCTTATCCTTCCCACCTCCAAAATACCTATTTTGCAGAAAATTGCTACTTTTCTTTTCCCYACAGCAGAGGGGATTGCTTTTCTCCAAGAGAGCAAGGGATAATAATTTTTTATGGCTTTAATATTTTCCTCTCACTGCCCTCCCTGGCTGGAACTGTATTTATAAAGCCTAACAGCACGTATCTATATTGAATGAGGGATTGGCTTGAGCACACTGCTTTAGGAGAGGGCTGCAAAACCCCARTGAAGTATTTTCTTTGTCTTGCTCAATAACATCTTCTAGAGTGGTGTTCCCATCAGCTTAGCAGTTGGGGTGTTTTTCCTATAGAGGAATATCCTTCTGAAATTCAGCTTTCCATAAAAAACCCAAACCACYGAGCACTTCGTATGTCTCTTGACAAGTGTCTTGCAATAGCTCAGCTCCGAAATTTCATCCCTCAGCAGGTGCTGACGTCAGTGAAAGGAATGCTGTTACCCACTGCAGTTCGCCCTCATTAGAAAATTAATTTGTACTTAACATCATATTTGCTAATATGATTTTTCAAGGTCACATCATAATCCTTTCTCACTTGCTAATGAGGACAAATCCCAAGAAATTGGAGATCGCCTCTTACCCAGCCAGTTCATTTGTTGTATGTCTGCCTCATAAATCAAGCTCCTAAGCCCCTGTGAACCAGGCTTGGGCTTAGAAAGCTGTGAGTCAAACTCACCGCTCCTCAGATCTCCTGGCGTGGGCTCCAGCAAGTCTCTGATACTGTGGATTTTTTTTTCTTTTCTGTCTTACAAGGATGTTGACAGAACAAATTTATTGATGACTGGAGGTGCTCAGACACTAATGAAATGGAAGCCACACTAATCTGATGAAAAAAGGAGACATTTTAAGCATTTTYGCCATATAATCAGTGCCAAAACATGTAACTGATTTAAAGCTTGTATTTTATCAATATACTTTGTTAAGGCATCACTGTAGGCACCTACAGATTTTGAGCCTTTCTTGCCAAAAAATCTTATATAAAGTTTTATTTTCACTTGGAAATCCCAGTTGATGATTCACTTCTTCCTTTACCCTCCATATTTAGGTTTTTTTTTTTTAAACAAACAGCCCATTTTAGTCATGTTTTTAAACTATTTCAATATATTGACAGTAATGAGTGTAGCAAAAATTAAACTTTCTGGTAAGTCTTCCAATTCTAAGCATTTAACTTGCTGATAAGCCTTCTATTTTTATTTCTTTTTCACAGGTTGTTGGAAACAAATCAAGCAGCCCTTTACCAGACATCAGTCGACTGAATTCACCATCAGCTATAGCAATGAGAAGGAGACACCACAAAAGCTGGATCTGGTCACCAGTGACATGGCAGGTAACAGTTGCTCCCCTCAGAGGCTTTCCTTCTTCTCTGCATGCAGAGCCCGTAACAGGGAGAGGGATGGCCCAGGAACAGATTTATCCATGTTCATCTCAGATGCATAGTGAAGCAGCTAAATGTATTAGGGAGGGAAAGACAACTATTTTGGATTTTTTTTTTCTTGCAGTTGTTGGAAAAATTTCCTGACTCTGTAATAGTTACAGCTGGAGGTAATGATGGAAGGCAYTCAGGCATGGATGGAGTGCAAGAATGTGCCTAGGATAGGATCGGCTTCCTTTGCTGACTAAGTTTTGTGTTTCTATTTAAAYACAAATGTCTCTAAAAATGGAACAAAATATAACGCCCCTTGCTGCTGATCAAGTAGAAAAATTATTTAGTTGGTTTGTGATGGGATTTCATGCCTAGCTGGAAGTTGTGCTCAGATCCCTATGAAGTTTTCCGGGTGCCTGAACTACCTGGAAGATGAGGCTTCTTGAAGTGGAAGCAGCTAGATGGGAGTACTCAGAAGAAAAAAACAAGCACAGTGCTTCTCTCCTGCACTACCTTGGCTCCAGGTCACTGTTTGGATAGAGCAAATCCTGGCACCAGKACTATTTGCATCCCAAAGGGATGATTTTTTAATTCATCCTCTTAGCACATCTTATCCCCGCCTAGTCTAGTCTGTCTGGTAAGGCTAGTGAGGCCAGCCATTTCACGGGATCAGTCATCAGCGCTCTTGAAGAAAGATTAGTTTGCTGTTTCCAGCCTCCAGACCTCAGAAATTCCTTAGAATTTCTTCATTGTGCTTGGCAAAGAAATACATTTAAAATACAAATGGATGGTTACTGTAATTCCATATGGTGCTGCTCTCAATATCTTTCAAAGACAGTTTCAGTCCTTTACAGAAACTTTCAATATAAATATTCAGAGGTCTACAAGGCAGTTTTAAGGAAAGAGAATGAACCAAGGTTGCTCACAAATGATGGTTATTTGGTTCCCTGGCCATGTCTGGGAAGCCTTTGCTCTCTGCATCATCCCCTCCTGCTGTGYTTGTGGGAAGTCTTAATTCTCAGCCTGGCCCAGGCAACTTCCCAGCCTTAGCATTTCACTTGCAGTCTCCTTAGAAATAAAAAAACATGAAATAAAAATGTGAGTGCAACCACGCAATGTGCCATTTAATAATTCAATTGCAGAGAGCACACAATTTGCATATAGGTTATCATGCTACATGAAATTCCCTGGCTTCAAACCCCCAGCTGCCTGCCGGTTCCCAAAGGCAGCCAGGAGGAAGTCGAGATGCTTCATCCTGAGCGAGAGAGATTTCTGGGGATGGCGGCAGCGATGCTGGGGAGAGCTGCACCACTTWCTTAGTGAAATATCATAACACCTTCACCCTACATGCTGAAGTTTGGGACGCAGCCAGAAACTGCCAGAAAGATTCACAGGACATATGGGATCGAATTCGACGCTCATGCCAGATGAACCGCGATGCCAGAACAGAAACCGAGCTAACTTCTTCACGCCTGCAGGAAAACACGATACTTTAGCAGTGTCACTTACTAGAGCTGTTCAGGCCACCGTATGTATCTGTAAGAGATTGTCACCAGCGCCAAAGCGAGAAAGTTAGAGCGTTCACTTTTCTCATAATAGTATTACTGTTTTTTTCAGCAAACCTAGTTCAGATCTCCTCACACGGCAGCCTGGCATCCACCTCGACTAGAGGCGCAAACAGGCACTTYTTGAGGCCGTGTTTCCTCCATCTCACTCCTTGCTCCTGCTCACGCCGTTTGCCTTATGCCAGCTCTGTCCCTGCCATCCCCCTTGACCGGGTGACTGCCCAATTCCTCTGGCAGCACCAATCCCATGTCTCCCCCCCAGCTCATCCCCCCTGGCAMGCCCGCAGCCATGCTGAGCTGGCTTAGCACATTTCACACTTCCTTTGACTCTCTTGGCTGCCGTTTTGCCTAACTTCATCCTTCTTGTCAGTCAGCTACTGTGAGATGCCTTTTAAATAAAGCCGGCTTGTTAAGAATCCTCTGGGCATTTTAATTATTCCAAAAGTGGAACACTCATTTTGGAGAACTTCTCGCTTGTGGATCTTCATGCAATGTYTTTTGTCCAGTTTGTTGGTACTATTTTGTTGACCTCACTCTTTTTTTAGGGCTTTTAAACTTACTCCAGAAATGTTAATTTATTTGGGAGGGTAGTTGAGGAAAGGGAGGGAGGGAATAGGAAAAGAAGTGGCAGATTGGAGCTTCTCTGTGGAAGAGCTTCTGCCATATTCTGCAACTCTTGCTCACTGAAGGAGGTTACAGGATCAGTGCTGGGGAAAGATTTCCTCACATCCCAAATAACCACACATTTGATACAATAACTGAGTAGTTTTTCAACATAAATTACCTATCCGTGCATAAGTATTACAGACATAAAATAACCAACCTATACCTTATTGAGCATTTCATGCTTCCTTTTAGATTATCAGCAGCCTCTCATGATCGGGACTGGGACGGTAACACGCAAAGGATCTACTTTTCGCCCCGTGGACACCAAAGAGGAGGGAAGAAGGGGGAGTTCTGAGTTTGAAAATCACTATCACTGCCCTCACAGAGCTAACAGGCACGAATACGCTCTGCCCCTGACCAGCCAAGAGCCCGAGTACGCCACCCCCATCATAGAGCGGCACATAGCAAGAGAAACTAATTTCCCCTCTGAGAATGGCTACAACGTTCCCGTCGTCTCATCTCAGATACATTCCCTCACCGCCGGCAGCTTCTCCAGCTCCTGTAAGGCCGACAGCAGGAACGGAGACTATCAGACACCCCAGAGTGTCATAAACTACGACAAACCCAAAGTTAATGGTGTTCTGACCTCCGTGAGCTACAGCACAGACTACCAGAAACCCCAGCAAAGTGCGCTGGKGAGCGAGGGTTACTCCACGCCCAGAGACTGCCTAAAGCCCATAAGCCAGACAGCAATGACAGCTCTCTTGTGATTTGCCGAGCGGGAGCGGCACGGTGCGCAGGAGCATCACTGCACAGCTTTCTGAAGTGAAAACAGAGTTTGGAGGGACTCTGCTGTGGGAGGCAGAAGGCAAACAAGCCCTGTGTACATAATATTGCTGTCTTGCTGGGTTCTGACATCTGAAGAAAGCATATGCTGTTTATCACTGTTTATAGCAAGAGAGATGTTATCAGTGAAGACTGTACATCTTATTTTCTCTAACTGATCTCAGTGCTCCGTTTGCAATGTGTGCAATTTGTACATAGCTTTTATTTAAGAAGAATTTCTTAAGTTTCCTTTTCACCTGGGGGTTTGAAAGAATTGCAGAAATGCCTATTTAAGGAAAACAGTCCTCCTTTTGTGTCTTTATCTTACCTGCTGGTGTACTGGCAGCTGTAAATGGTGTATCTTATGGCTGTGTTGATTCATTTCCTTTCCTATGATAACTGAAGATAGGGCTGTAGTTCTTACTGGGAGGATAGAAGTTAAATTACTCGCTGCATAATGTGCACGAGAGAAGGCAGCTATTTAAATACTGTGCTCAAACACAACTTCCCAGCTGCTTTTTTAGCAGCAATTCTCATATGCTTGAATTTGATTTAGCATACAAGCTGAGCCTGTCTATCCTGCAATTCATATTAAAAAACAGGTAGAAAGGCTGAAACTGGTTTTGGGTTCAAGCCATGGTTATCCCCTTACAACAGGAAAAAAAAAAAAGCAAGCCAAAAAAACAAACAAAACCAAACAACACATCCAACACCAGTTAATCTGGGGGMGTTATTTTGATTCTTTTTATTTAGGAAGCATGTGTGTAACCAAAATGTGAATTTACAGCTGAGAATTCAATGCTGTTCAAGCCCTAGCTGATCCTTTTGCTGCTAAACTATAAGGAAATTTGTTCCTTGGCACAAAGCAGTAAACTTCCTGAACTCTTCATTTCTCCACTAGGTATTTTTCTGTGTTACAAATTTAGTATAACGTTTCTGTTAGAAGTATTTCAACCAAGKAAAACACGGTGTGTGTATGGCTTACTGTTGCAGTTAAATTTGCAAGACAGCAGATCAGCACTGTTGTTTTCAAATAGCTTTTCTTTTTTGCAGCTAATGTTTCCCTCAGTTCCGTTTTTGGACAAACTTGAAAAAGCGTGGGGATGGGTGCAATGTATCGCACAGTAGCTGGCTCCTTTTTCAGCAGAGGCAGCTTTGGAGCAGAACAGCTTCTGGTCATGACTGGGACCGTCCACTGCCCTTCTACCTCCAGTGCTTGGGGCATTTCTCTGAATTYGAAAGCTTGTCCTAAAATGTTAAGAAGCGATACACTTCTGTGAAGAAAGAATGGTGCTATAGTTAAAGCACAAGGTTGGGAAACGAGACCAGTAAAACTTGAGCTCTGGGAAAATCGCTCTTGGAAGGCCCTCCATTTATYTCCTTGTACATAAATGGGATAATTTGCAAAAGATGCAACAAGGATTGATCAGTCTGTTCACGGAGCGCTTTCAGATCTCTGGCTGGAGAGCGCTGTCGGAGGACAGACAGGTTGCAGTGACACTGCTCACAAATACTGCTAACTCCAGCCGTGCCCGAACTCAGGCGAGCTCTGAGCGGGTTCTTTGCATCCCCTTGTCTTGCGGCCTCAGGTGGTGCCATTCCCCCACACCGCCGCGCCGTGCATGCGATTCCCGTGCGGAGAAGAAAGTCATGGTAACCTCGTAGCCTTCCTGTGTTTGCTGTCAATACGGTTTCTGTGAAATGTCTAAAACACCTCAGGTCCTGAAGTGAAACAGCAGCAGCCTGTTTGTTAGACCGAGCTGGGCGGCGTTGTTTACCTTCTGTTGTTTACATGTCTGTGTAAATAAAGAACACTGGTATTTGTAAATCAGCCACCCAGGCCTGCCACTTCACTCGGTGACTCCATCATCGCTGCACGCCCACTCTCGCCACATACCCCGCAGGGTGAGAAGGAAGTGTTCCTCACGCCCTGCAAAAGTGCCAGTTGTGCTGCTGCAATTCACAGTCCCAGTGTGACAGGCTAAAAAAAGATTCTCTCCATGCCCCATTTAGCCCAGATTTTCTGTCCATAAGCTCCATAAGAGAAGAAGAACCCACAAACTCCTGTGTCAAACCCCGCTGCTGGATCATATGACTGAGGAAGGGATGGGGATGCCCTCCTGATGAGCCTGAAACCAGTCCTCTGCCCACACAACTAATTACCCTGACTTGTCACTTGGCAAACAAACCAGTAAKTAGGCCTCCTCCCTACCTAATGAGGCAAGTAAATAACTCAGCAATGCAAGGGGACCAGGCAGCAGATGACACTACTTGTATTATAATGAACTTTTTGCATGCTTCTGCCACATGGTTGGCACATCTGCATTATGCTGCAAGTGTCAAAGGCTTCTTGGCAGCATCTGCCCATTTCTCCTGTCACTCAAATCCATCTAAACACAGCTGATTTAACCTAATGGAAAGTTTGGTCTCTGTATCTTGCCTTCATCCCCACTCCTCAAATAAAACCCCAACAAACCTTCAAAGGCAGCTTAAAATAGATCCCCAATCATATTCAGCATCCCTTCACAACAGCTTGGCGCTGATAGGGACAGAGGCAGCACAAATCCTGGGCACTGCCATGGTGCTCCATGGTTCACATCTGAGTGAGTCCTAAGCATGGTTAACACTGAAAGCATTGGGTCTCTCCACCTTGGCCTGGGAAATTTTTAGCAACCTTAGCAGTAARTATGGTCTGACTTTCTACCTTAAGTCTCTCTATCCTAATTGTGATGGAGATACAAAATCCTGGTGTAGGAATGAAAGTGGATTGCCTGAATCTAACCAGTGCTAGTGCTCATCCCCATGCCCATCGTCTGAATGGATTTTTATGTACTTACACATCAAACTCCAGCTTATCTACATCAGCCTGTCCTCACTGCCAAAGCCAGGTACAACACAGGCAGACTTATCACAGATTTAAAAACCTTTGTTCTACAGTGAAGGCTAGAGTATGCACCATTTTGGGATATTTCCACACTCAGAAGGCCTGTTAACTCTGGATCTCTCTCCAGCATCTCTAGACATTATGTGAGAGTAGAGTCTGATCCTCTGGTCAAYGGAGACTTTCAGTSGTGTTTTGGTACCAAACTTCCACCYCRAGCAGGCACTCCCAGTGGGCTGGACCAGTAAAGCCAAGTCAGAGTCCACAGGAAGGTTAAATATTAACTGCTCCTGGCACTAAGGACCTTCCTGTCCCATTGCCATTGACAGCGTCTCTGGCTTTTCTGGGARCAGGGGCAGCACTAACTGCACGTGTCTGACCGAGGGAACTGAGGGAGGTGGCTCATGAGGTAAGAAGTGTAAAAAATTGTATCAGCTACCTACAACAGAAACAAAAAATTGAGGCATGTATTTCCAGCTGGTGCCTTATATTTAAAACACAAAAAAAATCACTAAAAACAACGACAACAAATGTTCTAAAAATACCATAGGAAAAACACAAATGTTCTTTGCTCTCACCTCCTTTAACTGGCAAATAGATCACAAATTATTATTTCTTCCATCAATAATTCTTATTTCTTATTTCTTCTACCTTTCTAATGCTCRATACAAAAGCAATTTTTCCTATCAAGTCTAATTCTAAAGAGTATTTCTCTATTTCTTTTAGTTGCTAAACATCAGATATTRAACCCTACCTTAGTACCTACCACTATCTTTACATCCAACAGGCAATAGATTAAAATTAGCCCTGGATAGGAATTAGAATTTCCTGGCTCAGAGTATGTCCTGCTTAGAGCATCACCTGCTCTCTTTTTATGATCTTTCTCTGGATCAACAGCCTGGCTTCACCTTCCTCTCCAGACAGCATCCATAGGAAGGGTTCAAGCAGCTCAGTAGCTCATTCTCACCGCAGTCTGCAGAGCTGGGGGCAGGCAGGGAAAGCCCTGAGGGTGGTCTGCGCCCCTGGCATCTGATGAGTATTGYGAGCATTGAGCGAAAATGGCAGCAGTCACAGCAGTGTCTCTAGCACCTGTGTGTAAGTGACAGATCCCTGCCTCCTTATTTAAAAAAAAACCCAAAAATGCAGGAGGTTGGATTCCAATCGCTAGAAGCAGTTTGTGAATCCCATGGCTGGTCTGCATTATTGGCATGGCTAAAACCTGGGAACATTTAGATTTCAATATACAGACTTCCTTCAGATTTTTCCCACTGACTGGCAGGAAACTGGCAGCTCTTCACTCCATGGGCAGATTTTAGAGGAACCCTGTTTCAGGCATAAAATATTCCTTACACAGGATGGGAATATGAGGCTGTAGGTCCCATTACAGGAGCAGATGCCTAACTGAGCTTACCTGTTTGGTGGATTGCTATCATTAAAACAAARAGTGAAAAAATTAAGAGTTCTATGAAGGGGGTCTGTGGTCTCACAACAGTCCTGAAGGACCAGATGCCTGCTGAAAAGTAACCTTCTAGAAATTCATCTGTATTGTTCTGTCTACCCTCTCTCCAATACCAAGTTAGGTTTGCTTAGCAACTGGGAATTTTAAAGGCTTTCYGTAGCCCTTAATCAGGCCAGACCCGAGGAATGACAAGGTTTTGTTGTTGCATTCCTTTTTCCTTATTATTTTCCRTAATAAAAATTGTGTGCTGCCCTTTTCTTTCCAATGTCAGCTATGATGTAAGTTTGTACTGACCTCCAACCTCCACCGTGATTAGGACAGTGTGAAAGCAGAATTTACCATTTCATTTGAAACTCATCAGTGTTGTTGATACCTACACTGAAAATTACCCTGCCACTGCTGTGTGGGGTTAACAGGACTAACATTGCAATGTCTAACAATTATTGAAGACAGACTAAGTTTCACTTGTTTAAAAAGAAGGTGCCATTTCTGCACAATCAGTTTCAAACTTAAAATAGAAACCTCTCCTGAGGGCTTCCTTTTTTTGAAGCCCCCCTCCTCCCCYCGGTACAGTCCTACAATCCATTAAGGACACGCGACAAGGAGTCAGATAAAGTATTTCTAAACTAGATAAAGACAAGTAGGAAGACATCCTTAGATGGAGAAAACTCATTCTATCCGTGATAAGGAGGATGCCTCATATCTGACTTTCTGTGCTATCTCATTGTATAGTCTGGACATGAGAATTTGGAGATTTTTCATTCAAACTTCAYTGATTTGTTTAGGCTTTGCCTCACGTTAAGGGGCTGTAAGTCCTGAAAAACCTTTGCCATCTACAGTAGGCAAAGGTTATTCACCAACCTCTTGTCCTGGGCTGGGTTAATTCATTACTGACTCAGACACTCACAACAAGCTACTGCTCTGCCATGTGACATTTAGGAGATTGTCATCCTGTTAAATTTTTATGCAGTCACAAGTACAAAAAGAAATCCAGGAAGGGGACAAAAGCACAACCTATTTTTTTAACCTATGTGTTAAAGCACAACCTAATTTTTCACCATAGCAAAAAATGTAAGTCAACAAATATGATATAGTAGTGTTACCAAGGCTTTTGTGCCCTGAATGATCATCCTGAACAGACCTCAAGAATACATAATTTTGACTAGACACAAAATTTTTAACAGAATTTACTGGAAAAGTTCCCCAAATGCATTAATGATCTGCATTATTGGTTAACCCAAAGAGAAACAGWACCCTGAATACCCAGCATTTCCTCCTACTAAATCTGAGCTACCAAAAAGAGTGAGAAAACGT